ATATTTCAGTGGTCAGTCTTATATCATCAGCTTTCCTTGTTTGGTTGGTTCGGGATTTTTTTACATCAGAGAATTTTAGATAAGAGGGGTCAAGGGGATCCCATAGACTGGCAGCAGGTACTGGAATAACCTCCAAGGGTTTTGGGATGTAATGGAATAGTTCCAGTGGTGAGGTGTCAGTGTGGGCCTGCTCTGCTCCAGCTATGCTTGGGGAGCAGGAAAAGGCTGGTTCAGAGCTTGGAAAACCAAATTTCTTATGTTGAGGGCAGGTAAATGGGCTTTTGGTGTCTTTGTACTGCTCCTGCTTTGGGCTGAGTGAGAAGCACTCAACCATCACTGGCCCAAGGATCACAAGGTCCACAAAGCTCTGATTTGTACAAAATGACTCCTTTTTCTTGGCTAAGGAAGGTGCATCCAGTGAAATTCCCTGGCTCTGCCTCAGGAAGGTGGATTATTACAGATTCCGAGGTGTTTGGGAATGATCTGTAAATGATGCAAAAATACAAAAAAATAGAACATAAAAAAATTACAAAAAAATACAGCAGCTCCAGAGAGAGGAAAGGGGGAAGAATTGAGGAGGTGGTTTTGGGGATAATGAAACCAGTGTGACCATTTCAGAGGTGATTCCAGGCAGAATGGATGGATGTGAAAAGGTCACAGCAGGAAATAAAGGCACTCATCACAGTCCTCTTCTCAAGCTGTTCTTACAGTGTCCCAAAACCTGGAGTCACTGAGAGTATGAGACAATTTGTGCATCCCAGATGCAATTTGCTGTATTCTTTCTGCTTTTCATGTATTTATTTCTAGTGAGCTGTCTTTTGTAGTTAAGCTTATCTGTTGTTTCCCTCCATTTCCAGGTTTTCTCTTAGAAATGATCCTGTTAAACCTTCCCTTTGCCAGGGCTGTAATTGAAAAAAAATCAAAACAAAGCCACTGAGGGGGGAAATCCCAAACCAAGCCCTGTGCTGTCATTCCTGCAGCTGGCACATCACTGCCAAAGGCTGTGCTTTCAGAGGCTCTGCTCTTGTAAACTCTTTTAAGCTTCCTTTTCTCCAGTGTGAAATAAGGAACTCCAGTTTGGAAGATGGGGGGCTGAAGGTTGTTCCTGCCTTGATTTGCTCTGTCTCCTTGGTCTGCTCTGAAGAGCTGAGCTGGGAGCAGAGCAAACAACCCAGGCAATAATTGCTTTGGCTCCCTGACTTGGATTTGCCATCTCTGCTGAGCAGGAGGATCAGTTTGGGTGACCTTGAGGACCAGTGCTGGCAGGGCTGCTCAGACAGCATTTGGGTGAGGATGCTCCTTGCTCTCCTCTTCCCTTGGGTGCAAACCTCCATCCAGACACACAATATGGGCTTATTTTCTGCTCAGAAATTAGCATGTGAGGCACAAAATTCCCTGAGTCATTGAAAAACGTGCAATGACATTTAAATTCCATCCATGACGACGTCTTCGAAGGAGTTTGTTGAGAGCTCTTTAAATTCCTGAACCACTGCTGACTAATAGAGGAATGTAAATTAGCTCTGAAACAGGTTCATTTAACTCTTGTCTAGTGTGTAGCATTTGGCCTGGCAGAGTCAAAATACTGTGACTTGTTTTTGTGTGGCAAATTGAGTACTTTGTTTATTAAAATTGCTGATTTGTTGTATAATGAGGAGGGCCCAGATTACTGTTCCTTCCACGGGAAGGATTTAAAGAGCAGGTCACTGCTGTTCTCCAGCAGCAAAGTAATTCTGATTATGTGCTCATCTTCTGTTCTGTATTTCACAGATCTTTGTTAGCCAGGTTTTAGAATGATTAACTTGCATTGTGCTTGCAGTCCTGTCAGCCTTAGTGATGCTCCACACATTTGGCTTCCGAAATTCTCCCTCTGAACACAGACAAATATGTCTGTAAAGTGAGATCGCTGATAATGTATCAGAATAAAACTGGAGCATAAAGCTGGGTTTGTGTTGTAAAGCTGCACCCTGCATCATGTAATATTCAATGTTTTTTTAACTCTGAGCTGGGACTCTTAATTGAAGCTGCAGCTCTGCACTTCCTTCATGCATGACTTAAGGCATCCAGCAATGTTTGCTGGGATGTAATTTGCTTTTTTTGTAGAAGCTTCCACAGAGAGAGATAGAACAGCCATTTTGCCAAGGATTTAGTAAATAATGATGCACATAACACAGAATTTTAATAATGTCCTTTGATACTGGGAAGGGGATCACAGTTTTTGTGTTTCTCCTCTTGCTCCAGTGGCTTTCCCTTTCCCTTCAAGCAGAGTTGAGTGCTGGCTGTTGTTGCTAATTGCACATGATGGAGCACTGACATTTTCAAAAGCACACATAGATGATAGGCACCCAAAGGATGAGGCTGCTGCCTTCAGAGATGCTGCTACAGTTCTGCTGGCATCGACTCATTTAGTGATGAATTGCAGTAATAGCAGTTCAGGACCTACAGCGTATTAGTGAAAATGAATCCACTGAGCACCAGTCCCGTGGCACTGCAACAGCACTTAAAGAACACTGATTTCCTTAAAGGCAGAAAAATCTGATTAAGAAATTTAGTTGGGGCTATGTTTTTTGCTTTTGGTGGTTTTTTTTTCCTTCATATCTTTTTCCCTTTCCCAGCAGCGTGCTACTTGTATTTGTTTCTTGTAGTGTGTTATTGTAAGGAATTTAATGTACATCCAAAAAGCAGGTGAGTTCCATAAATACAAAACATCTCTTGCTGTTCTAGCAGATGGAGGATGCTACAATAAACAGCAGAACTGCTTTAATTTCTTCATCTAAACTGACCTAAAACCTGGTTATAGCAGGAAAAAAGCTCAATATGCTGGCACTGAGGAGATATGTAATAGTTTACACAGGGTCTGTGGCAAAGATGGTGTAGGATGAATGCAGCAGTTGGCAAGAATTATTCTAATAAAAGGATAGGGCAGCCTATTATTGCAGGAGTTGTGTAATTTGAGGGAGCTGGGGATAAAGACAGGCTTTGTGTTAATGATGTGTTGGTGTTTGCAGGAGAACAGAGTGTTCTCCCAGCTCTGGAGAGAGGCATCACTGCGGAAGGTCCCGAGCACAAAGCTGTGCAGTCTCCTTCCAAATCATCCAACAGCCACAAAATCAGAGGGCTCTGGAATGCAGGGATATGAAAATGTACAAGTGTGCATCTCCCTTTTTTTTTTCTCCATCCTGACACCCTCTGTGCCCAGCAGGGAGGGAGCAGGTCTGGGGCACGTGCAGGAGCAGCTGGAAGTGGCTCCAAGCGTAAAGCAGTGCTAATAAATGGGCTCTTCTTGGTCAGATGGAGTCTTGTAAACTCCAGTGCACGAGTCTAAGAGATGTAAAGATACTCTAAACTGGGATTTATGGATAATTTCACCATTTTAGGGCTAATACAGCTTTGTAAGGCTGACAGCTGCGGAGGAATTATCTGAAGACAATCCTGGACAGTTTGGCCAAGATCTGTTTTGTGCCAAGGGCAGAGATCCACTGCTAACGCTGGCTGCATTAACAGCTCTGCTCTGTCAGGGCAATAAAAAGTCTGCGTTTGTTGCACCTGTGGCTGTACTGTCTTTGGGAAGGGATAAAATTTGGATATGTAATTGTGTGGAGGAAGCAGAATATTTATAGCAGGTGGAGGTGGTGTGGGTGTTTGTGCACTCAGGGTTCTCGACGAGCGGGTGATGAGTTATGATGATGATGAAATAGTTTTCTGTGCTTTGTGATTTGAAAAGCAGCTTGGCACTTCTTGCCAAAGCTCCTGCAGTTTCTCTAACCTGAGAAAATCAGGGGAGTTCTTTTTTTGAATAATAATTTTTAAAAAAAATTGAATTATAGAGTTGTTTCAGTTGGAAAAGATCTTTAAGTTCATTGAAACCTGTGTGGCTTTCGGGTAGGCCAAGAAACGTCCCAGTGTGATTATCCAGGACTTGATAAGGTCCTTGATATTGATAATTGATAAGGATACAAATAATAATATAACCAGCTGTAAAATAAACTAACAACACAACGGCCATGTTGACAGCAGGATCCAACTAAGATGACTTTTAATGCCAAACGTGTTGAGTTTAAGCATTGACATGATTCCTACATTCCTAAAGAAATTTAAATTAAAGATGTACCTTTCTGACTCAAACAAAAGCAGCTGCTGCTTCAAGTAGAATGAACTGCTGGTTTTTTAATTTTAAAGTCCTGATCTCTTCTGGCAAATTATGATTGAACTACAGAAGAATTTCAAAACACACAAACAGCACACATACATTTTGAGGTATGTTCACTGAATAAAGATGAGTGAACTAAGGTGATTCAGTCTGCAAAATATTTGTTAAGATGATAAAAGATGGGTTGAACCGTCCAGGTAAAGACTAAAGGTTGTACTGAGTTACAGTTTCAGTATTTTTAATGCCTTATGGGTTAATTTAAATAATGAAAGCCAGGGATAAACACAGTTTAGTTTCTTTCTGCTTGGGTTTGTTGTGTTTGGGGCTGTGTGAAAATTATGAAGAAGACTTTGATATTCAAAGTTTTCATTTCATTTCCTTTTGATAAAAACACCATGAAAAATTCAGGTGAAAGGAAACCAGACGAGACTCATACGCCATTAAGGGAATTACATTAGGAGTTGTAATAATATCCCTTAATCTTAAAAAGGTAAGTCTCTTACAGAATTAAGGTTTGGCTGCTGCTTTTCATGCCGTGTGAGGAATTATGGCTAATGCAAGTTGCTGATGTGAAAACATCCTCGCTAATCCTGTTTGGAGAGCAGCTCGTTCCGTGCTCCTTAGAAAAGGCACAAGAAGATGTATTATGGGCCCTTCGTTAAATAATTACTTAATTACACCCTGGGACTGGCAGATAGCAATCTGAATGCTGCTGGCGGGTTTCTCCTACAGCAGCAAAACTCCGTGTGAGGAGCGCCACGTGCGCTGCAGCAGGGACGCGTTGGCATCAGCAAACTCAAGGTGGAAAAGACATTTCAATCAGCTCATACTCATTAAAAAAGCTTCTACTCACCCTTCCCTGTGAGCTTCTCCCTTCTCTAGCTCCTGTATAACACCCAACAACACTTTGATGGTCTCCTGACTAGAGCTGATCAGGTTCTCCATCATCTGAAGCTGCGCTTTCAAGTCCACAACTTCGGTGTGAGGCACGATTTGTTGGCATTCCTGGCTCATGGCCACGGCCGTCCGGCAGGGCTGGCTCTCCTCCATGGGCGCCACGTTGACCTGCAGGCTCTGGTCACTACATTCGGGGGCCGGGCACTGCGCCCGCGCCGCGCACGCTCGGGCATCTCCGGCCAGGGGCTGCACCCCGTTCAGCTGCACCGTCCTCTTGTCGTCCTCCTCGGGGCACGGCCCCCAGTCGCCCAGGCCGGGCAGGTCGGGCTGCGAGGCCGGCAGGTAAACGGTGGCCACTTCTGTCTTGAAGACCCTCCCGTGGAGGGGCTGGGCGGCCTCGTCGCTCCCCAGCCGCGCCACCGCCGCTCTGCCCCGGCCGGGCGGCCGTGCCGGCTCCTCCTCGCCGGGCTCGGCCAAGTTGGGTGGAGGAGGAGGAGGAGGCTCTTTGGGAGAACTGTGCAAATCGCTGCTTTTCCAGGCCTCGGCGCCGTTGTCGTGCGCGGCGCGCTCGGAGATGTGGGAGATGAACTCGGCCGTCTGCAGGCTGCCGGCCTTCCTGCCCCACGCCGCGGCCTCGCCTGAGCCCCGGCCCTCCCTGTCCTTCACCTCGATCAGGAACCCGTTGTTCTCGCTCGGTAACGTGTCCACAGTCGCGGCGCTTTTCAGAATATTCCCTTTTTTCCGGTCCAGAGGGAAGGTCTGGTAGCACTTTTTGAGATCAGGGGAAGTCTGGACTCCTGTGCTCTTGGTGACGTTGGGGATGGACCTGCGGGCGGGCACCGTCATGTACTTGCGATAGGCCGTCTTGTAGGAGATGGCCTTGGCCTCCTTCTTGTCGGGGTCCTGCGAGGAGGAGGTGGAGAGCTGCTTGTCCCTCTGCTCGTTCTGGGCCTCGCAGATATCCTTAAACCTCACCTGGAGGGCTTTGTTCCGTTTCTTGATCTGCCGGTTGGGATCCAGCGCGTATTTCATCTCCAGCGCCAGGGAAGCCGCGGGCTCGACGTCGCTGTCCGAGGCGGTGAGTAAGCATTTGCTGGGCTCCTTACTCACCATGATGCCTGCAGCCAAAAACAGTGTAAAAAGCCTCAAGTTACAACAGAAATGTTACTTTTTCCCCTGAGGTTTTTGCAATATTTAAGCCACGTTCCTGTGATCCCACTGAAATGGATGTGACTCGCAACCGATGCGCTCAATTCCATTGAGTCGCAGCCCTTGGTGATTTTCTAGAGATTTGGATCTTAATCATTTTTTATCTTAATCTGTTATGAACACCTGCTCCTCAGAGAGGAGATTTCCCGTTCCCAGAAGTTTTTCCACAACTATTTTCCCAGGATAGGACAATGGCTGTCATGCCAAGGCTTCCCAGGAAGCAATTTCCTTCAGGAATATGTGCTCCCAGGAAGCCAGTCCTCTGAATTTACCTGATAGTTAGTAAAAACTACAGGGAAATTGAAAACCAAGTGAAGAAAAGTTGAGAGCTCTGCCCACCCTTAATTCTCCTTTAATGCAAATGTTTAATAGCAAGAAGTGTCCAACTGGCATGAGTGTGCTTGCTTACCAAACACATTTCTGCTGTGTAATGTATTCAGCATTCTTTGCAAGGAATCAGTTGATCATTAGAGGTGTCATTATTTGGATTTTTATAAAAAAAATCCATGTGACTAAAACTGAGTACAGATTAATTATTATTAGCAACTGGTTGGTAATGCTGGGTGTGTAAAATTTATGAATTAGTGAAGTTTTGGAGGAAGTCAGCAGTGCATCAATTAAGCTTTTGCTTCAAATGCAAAACAACTCATCTTTTCCTAGAAGCAGTAATGTGCCTTTATGATACAGCTGCTTATCCCAAAAAATCCTGAAGCACTAAAAACCTCCAAACCTGTGATGAATCACAGAAATTGCTTAATCTGCCATTGAAATATAAGCTCCTCCTCAAGGAGGAGAAGATGCCAACTGCTTAACAGAGCATATATCCAAAAAAACCCCCAAACCCCAATGGTTGTACAGATCATAGGAGATCTGGAGTAGCTGCATAATTAAGATTTCATTTTTACACCTCATTTGAAGTTGTAATTTTTACTTTCCTGTTGTGCAAATTTCTCCCTGAGACTTGCTGAATTACCAAATTCCCACTTAATCCAAACATTCTGCATATATCTCCTGCTGAAACCCTCTGAGGGACTCGGGAGTACAATGTAAAACAAGTAAAGGGACTTTCAGGTGTACTTGAAATATGTTTTTAATTAAAATTCCTTTGTCTATTTAATAAAATATGTGAAACTCTTGAAGAGTTAAGTGCCATAATAGCATCTGTTTTAGAAAGCTAACTCAGGGGCACGAGGGAATGAATCCTTGACTAGTCTATATTTAAAGTAAGAAAACTTAATGGGGAAATAATTTCCAATTGAAAACTGAATGTTTATGAGGTTTAAAGTAAAAGTAACACTTCCCTAAAGACACACACAGATGTGCATGGCACAGAGTCCAAGGTTGGACTTCTGGGTAAAAAATCTCATGAAAACATGTCATTACTTAATGTTTTTTTCATGTTTTAATTCCGTGGCCCTGGTAATTTGTGAAGAAGGAACTGAAATATTCCAGAATCCCCCTAGTTTTTCTGGGTCAAAAATCTCATGAAAACGTGTCATTACTTAAAGTTTTTTTTTTCATGTTTAAATTCCCTGGCCCCGGCAATTTGTGAAGAAGGAACTGAAATATTCCAGAATCCCCCTAGTTTGCCTTTTTCTGTCTGACTTGTGATGCTCAGGGAGTGGTGAGGGAACAGCAGTCGCTGGAGAAGGGGAAGAAATTTTTCTGTGACTGATGTAGCGCAAAGTCTGTAGAAGAAGCAAAAAGAAGAGAAAATTCAGGACAAAACCACTCAAATAATGGAATCTGAGATTGCCAGATCCCAGTTTTCAACTGGATATTTTATACATACAAGCCTAAGATCTGATACCAAGGTGACCAAGTCCCTGTTTTGGGGGAAAAGAGAGAAAAAAATGGAAATTCTAAGGGGGAGTCTGAAGATAAAAGCAGGGTAGGGAGTAAGATCAGTTATCCCTGTGCCCTTAAAACATGAGGTTAAAATAGTGACAGATTTTGAGGGGAACAATTCAACTACATTTGAGTGTAAGGAATTTTTTGTTCCAGTTGAAATCCTAAATAAGGAGTTGGTTGTGGGGGAACATCAGTGTCCTCTCCTGGCTGCTTTGGGCTGTATTTTAATTGTAATTGTGTTTGTGAGTGCCTTTATTTGAGGGACATTCTGCAAGCAGAGCAGGTAGGGCTGTCCATCTTTTTGTCTATCTAGGGCTGGAATTTGGGAAGTTGTAGTGAAAAAAGTGCTGGCTAAGATACAAACCTGGTCCTTCAGCTTGCAGCTAGACCACATGAAAATCTATTGTAAAAACTGCGGTTGAACCCCAAACCTCTGCACTTCAGAACTACTGGCAGCAAATTTTCCACAACAGTCTGGTAAATGAATGAGTTGACCAAAAATAACCCTACATACAAGAGCACAACAGCCATTAGTTCCAAATCTGCCAGTGGGAGTTTCTGAGCTCCCAAGAAATTGTGGCAAAAATTAAATGCTGCATTCACAGAGATGTGAAATATTCAGTGACTGTGTCTGAAAAAGCCACATTTTTACCCTAAAAGGCTACAAAAATTGGCTGTTAGCTCTGAAAGTCACCATCTCTTAGGATTCCTTGGAGTTGTCAAAGTGAGTTTTTGGGCACTTGGTTATTTGACAGCAGGATCCATTAACATGCAATTCATTTTCAAGTATTGGCTTGATATTTCATTAGTCTCTGTGACCTGTCTCAGTTTTCAGATTATTTTACCTCCCACTTGAATCCCATAATTTTTGGGGGCTGCAGGATGGCTGGGTTTGTTTGGGATGACTTCCCATGGAATTCATGGAGTCCACAACCCAGCTGAAACCAGGAGTCTGGAGATATCCTCCAGAGTAGATAAATGAGGAACATCATTCTGCAGTTAATTTTGTGTGTGTCTTTAATAGCCAATAAATTGATTCTTCACCAAATTGCTTGTTCCAACTGCACAGGCCTGATTGATTTAGCTGATCCAGAGTTTTTTATTCCCACTAGTAGCTGGGAGTAACAATTTTAGAGATATCTGTGATTAAGAATGACAACAACCAAAAGAAGTAGATTTTTTTTGAAGCCTTGCTCGGATCCTGGTGTCTCTGAGGGGGAACTCTCTGTGCTCAGCTGATAAAAGAACAGTTGAGGAAAGAGTCAATTGTGAGTTAAACACTTCACAGGGAAGAGTTGTTAAAATATTTCCTGTTCGGTTTCATTTTTGGTTTGGACAAAGTCTTGCCTCCTGTTTTGGCTTATTTAGGCACTGCCACACTGTTATCTCTGCAGGGTTTTCGGATACTTGAGGAAACTACTGAGCTGGAGTTGCTCAGTTTATGGCTCGTGCTGTCAGGGGGGTAATAAAGCCTTTGAATTTGAATTTTAGTTGCAGATGCCAATTGCATGCAGATAATAGAGTTCAACTTTTTATCTGTACTTACTCCAAACAAAGAGCTGATTTGCTAAACTAAATATTTAAGTAATCATAAGCTTAGTTTTTCAGTTTTTAGCCTTGATTTGTTTATAAACTTGAGTCTGATTACCCTTAAGCAGCATCCCTCTATGTCTGAATATGGAAATAAACTATTAAATAATAATAATAATAACTAAAAAGTGATGCACAGAGAAGCTTTGAGTGGGTATAAAATCTTTGGGTAATTACACAAACCACCAGTTAGGTGGCACAAATCTTTGCAGGACCTTCCCTCTGCATCCCAAACTCTGCAGAGTCACTGCTCTGGGAGGAGAATTACAGTGTGAGATTTCCAGACTGATTGGTCAGTGAGGGGAGAGGAGATTTGGAACTCACCTTCCAATTTCCATTTTATTCCTGTCAGTTTTATGACACAGAAGCAGATTCAGGATGTGTTAATACCCAGAGTGGGCTTAAATTTAGCAGGTTCCAAATGCAGATGAAAGGCACAGATTTCAGTCCTTGGGTTTCCAGAGCAAGCGAAGGCTTTGGAGATGCAGCTGGAAACATCTGTGCACGTATTAAGAGCACACAGGACTTTGTGGATGGATGGATGGACTGGCTTAAAATAATGCAGGGAATTGCAAATAATTGGCTTTTTGCACGGAAAGTGGGACGTGATCTGCAGCATCTTTAGGCTTCTGGATTTTTCCAGGCTGGACATTCTCCTGAGAAATCTCCACTGCCTCAGATAAAATTTTATATGCCTAAATACCACCTTAAACCACTTACTTGTCAAAAACTGTTTGATGTCTATAAGTCATAAGTGTATCCATGGAATATTTATCCAATTATACTGTTAAAAATAAAGAGCAGAAAGAAACTCAGATTTACTTTGTAGAAACAAATCCAGTATAGAAACCTAATGTTAATTCTAAATATCCCATATATTTTGCCTTCACTAAATGAGTATTTTTATTCTTTTCAAAGGAATCTAATTGTTAATTATCTGACAGTGTTATATTAGAAACTTGAAAATTATTTAGTATCATCCTAAAAGTAATGTCCAGTAAAAAAGACTGCCATGATAAAAACATTGGAAAATATGTATCTTAGGCAGTTATTAATTACAAAAGTTGTTTGCTGAAACTTTGCCTGTGTTAGGAAATTTTAATACAGAAGGACTGAGGAGAAATTCTGACTTCCAGATAAATCTGAGGATTGCAGGTATTGCCCGTTTTTAGGGGATAAAAAATACTGATGAGAGGATTATTATGAAAACTGCTGGGGTAGCCCAGCCTGTCTTTATTTCATCACAGAATCGTTCATGTAGAATAACAGACTTAGCAGTGCTGCTAAATGTCAAACCAGTATTTTTTTTTTAACTCTGTTTTGAAACCCTGCGGCTCTGAACTTGAGTTTTGTCTCTCTTGAACTTCCTTATTTACTGCTCAATACCCAAGTCATCCTTACTGCTGCATTTCCAAGTGCCTTGGAAGTCTTCCTTGGAATTATCAGGATCCTGTGGCATTGGATTTGT